ACTTTGACAGTAAACCAAGACAAGACATCCAACCAACCAAAACTATATTATCAAAATCAAATGACATCCGCCCACAAACAAGACCAAAGAGTTGTGCGGGAAATTATCTCTCGACATATTAAAGGCAAAACGACCACAAAATAGACGTCATTTATTATCGTAATAAGAAAATTTCTAACTTTGTTATGAGAAACAACCCAGACAAACCCGACAAACTAAAGTGCACCAATGTAGTGTATCAATTCAAATGTAACATGGAAGGTTGCAAACTTCGTTCCATGCACTACATTGGTGTGGCCACAACGGCACTCTCACGACGCCTGACAATGCACTTACGTGACGGGGCACCTCTGGACCACATGCGACAGGAACACGACATGACATGGACACGACAACAACTGACAGACAGCACTGACATTTTACAGGCGAGCAATGACAAAAGACGCCTTCAAATTTTGGAAAGTATATTCATTAACGAAGTCTCTCTGGCCCCAGACAGCCAAATTCTTGAAAAACTGTGGAATTATTAGGTAGTGGGCGGTGAGCACTATTGATGTCAGACCCGAAATCGGCGTAAGCTGCGGATACGAGCTAACTGGTGATAGAGATGACCGCCCCGATAATAGCAAAACAAGGAACTTACGTGGTTAGCTGTTAGAAACATGACATAACATGCACATATCAGCACATGCCAGGCCGTTTGGGGGGGGGGGGGCGGCAAATCATGGTTTCGCGACCTTTGCGTGTGGGCATGACCCCTTCTCCCTCCCTGAATCCGCCCTTGATCACAAGGCCTCTTACTTTGGTCGGGACCACTGGAGCAGTGAAACGACCCTGTGCTGGTCAGGGTCCAGAGCGCTAAATGGGGGACCCCAGTGCCGGCAGTGAGGTCCCAGGTCGGCCAGACAATTTGCTGCACAGGGACAGGGACGGAACCCCGAATGTCATTGACGTCTTTTGCTTTGGACGGGGCCTACTTTACAGTGAAAGAAGATACGAGTTGACAACGCAAGGGCTCACATCCATTACCCTGCGTGTATCCGGTGCCAGATATTCTATTCAGAGGGACTGTCGCGTCATGGAGGAGACCGGTGTATGATGCATTCCTCTGAGGGCCTCCGTATTGATCAGGGATGTCCTGTCCCGGTATCGCCGGGATAGCAGCCTCTGATGAGTCTGGGCTGCGACGAAAGCGCCCTTGACCTCCTGACCAAAAGGATTACTTGTGCGACTTCGGAGTTGATTCTCTGAACGGAATTAGCAATCACAGCAACGCGAGCAGCATACATTCCACCATCGTATCATGCGTTCGTGGCACCGTGCGTGATAATTCTTAACTTGAGTATCGCACAAGTGAAACCTACGGCCCCTGGACACCTTTCACAGGCATTCCAATCGCTTTCATTAACTGTGCGAAAGCGGTACTTTTAGAAAGGTTCTTGCCCGCCGTTCACCACCTCCGGGTAGAGTGGGACCAACGTCGCGCGGCCTAAGCGGGCTGCAAGGCCGGGTGCCGGTGTTTCGTCCCCTAAACGTCGAGTGCGTATTTTTAAAGCTGTATTATGTAGTTTTCAATGGTGGATATTCAAGCAAGGATAAACTTTCCCAGGTGAACAAGGGTTAGGCATATCAAATGGAAATTGCTGGCCCTGTTTTGATCCACACTAGCGTTCAATCCACGTGCCCCTTAAGATCTTTGTAAAGCCTCGAGAAAATCCAGCAGCGCCCCTGCCGCTGGTATTGTTTTGTAGGCAGAGCTGAATGAACCACGTTTAAGTTTGTGTCGTTCGCGGCTTATTCGATGCATTATTTTGATTCCTGGCTAATTTCGTTTTATTTACCCCTACATGCATGCACGGTCGAATCCTCTGACTTCCTTTTCAGTCAAAGCAGCTCAACATAAAAGGCAAAAGAAGAAAATTTGCCTCCCGAAATAAATTGGGACATTTTGTGAGCAGGACAATAAAGTTCCAGTGGGCACCACAGTGAAGTGTCCCTGGACGAAATCATGGTTCCGCCCCTGATTCGAGTTGTGTGTGCTGCATACGATGATTACAAAGCAGTGCACATTTTATACACCGCTGGACAGTACGTTATTTTGGCGAGACCCCGAAAAATAGTCAACTTTTGATAAGTAAAACGTTGTCTTCAATCGACAAATGAATGAATTACACATATAGCCACATGGGAAAATAAAAGCGAGCAAAAACAGGGGTGAATTTCTGTATTTGTCATGGTGAATTCCTACTGCATTTGCCATTAGCAGTATTTGCATTTTAAAACATATTTCTGTAGAAAAATAGTTGATCTTACACATGAAAAGATCAGCTCCGTGGAAGTTACGTTGATGAGGGGAGGGGGAGAGGCGGGTGCCGTCCTCACTTTAAAAGTTTGGGAACAAGCGTCCATCCCCCGCCCTTACTCCTGCGCCTATAAGGAGGCGCCTCTGCCAGATGGAGCGCGAGGAGCGTGCGTGCGACGCCTGACCATAAGGCACGGCGCCAGGTCGGCTGGAGCTCGACGCTGGGATTGGCCGCTTCACGTGTGTGTGTGTGTGTGTGTGTGTGTGTGTGTGTGTGTGTGTGTGTGTGTGTGTGTGTGTGTGTGTGTGTGTGTGTGTGTGTGTGTGCGTGTGTGTGTGTGTGTGCGTGTGTGCGTGCGTGCATGCGTGCGTGCGTGCGTGCGTGCGTGCGTGCGTGCGTGCGTGCGTGCGTGTGTGTGTATCCATGTGCCACGGCGCCAGGTGGGCGGGATGTGCGTGCTGGAGCTCGGCGCCGGGATCGGCCACTTCACGTTTGTGTGTGACGTGTGACCATGTGACGCGGTGCCAGGTGGGCGGGATGCGCGTGCTGGAGCTGGGCGCCGGGATCGGCCGCTTCACGCGTAAGCTGGCCGAGCGCGCCAGACACGTGACCGCCGTCGACTTCCTCGAGACGTACATCGAGAAGAACCGCGAGAGCAACCAGCACCTGGGCAACGTCGAGTTCCTCTGCATGGACGTGACCCAGCTGAAGCTGGAGAGCTGCCAGTACGACATGATCTTCAGCAACTGGCTGCTCATGTACCTTTCGGACGAGGAGATTAACAAGCTGGTCAGCGGCATGCTCAAGTGGCTTAAGCCCGATGGTTACCTCTTCATTCGGGAGTCGTGCATTAAACAATCAGGTAACTCCAACAGAGCAGGTCTGACGTCACTTAACAGTCATGAGTGAACAGCCGTCCGCTCATCCTGCAACCCGTTGACTTAGATCGCATTACCTGGCGACTGGCGATTGCCGATGAAGCAGCGTCAGATAGCACCACTTGACGATCGCACCCATGAAATGCCGGCCGACGTTGCTCTCGCTGATTCAGACGTTCGTTTTCCGTCTTTCCGTGACTCGGCTCCCACGAGCACGCCATCACGAGAGCGGCGCCTGACGTGGCACGCAAAGCTGCGGCGTCATAAAAACGTGCACCTGCACGTGTGTGCAAGCAGCTACCTTTGTGGATGATTATTGTTATTGCACGAATGGTAAAAGTGAGCCGCACTTCAGCGGTGTGACGGTGTTTCAGGTAACAAACAGCGTCAAACAAATCCTACCTTCTACCGGAGTCCCCCGTTGTATTGCAGTCTACTGCAAGGGCCCAGTTTGAAGACGGAAACTACAGAGTACCGGTTTACACTGCGATACGCAGCCTCCGTGGACGTTTTTGTAAAGGTTAGAGCAATGATTTCGTCCAGCTGAGGCGTTCCTACCCCAACACACAGCTGTTCTGGAGCCTGCGGTTAGCCTCGAATTGCTTGTTTTCTGAATAAACCGGGGAGCCGCAGGTTCGCTGTTACATTCTTCTACAGGATCAGAGAACATTACAGCATCGCACTGTGTAACAACAATGCGATAAGTAATTAAAGTAAACGCAAACTTTATCAGTTTCAAAACAGCAAAAAGGCCAAGAATATTTGGGTGGTCAGCGGGAGGCCAAACCAGTTATTTATCTCTGTTCTCCCAGTACTACGGCAACCCGTACCAGCTGCTGTACCTGCTGCGGAAAACACCGACCAGCGACTACTTCAGCAGCTTCCAGAACTTCCTGGACGAGCACCAGTACTCTCCGGCCGGCATCAAGCGCTACGAGAGGATGTACGGCGAATCGTTCGTCAGCAGCGGCGGCCTGCAGACGACAGAGGTATGTGCTCTGCCGCAGCGCGGCGCCGGCCTTCTCCGGCAGCCGAGGGGTGCGCGACCCGCTCTCGCCGACCGCGGCAGGTAGCTGGCGGGTGTGGGTGCAAACCGGTGTCGATGAGCGGTCGAGTCCAAATGAGTTTGACGACGAGCTGTAATCGATTAGGGCCCGCTCAACGTGGTCCAAGTGGTTTGGCAAGCGCGCTTTTGTGGTGGATGCGATGGGGTGTGGTGCTCAAAGTCCAGAGCATGAATCCAGAATTCAAAAAAATCCATCCAGAATTCAAAAATCCAAAACAAATCCAAAATCCAGAGCAGAGCATGAAGCACGAGATGATATCTTTCTAGGATCAGACTCAGGAAATCCATTCAGACTTTCTGAGTCTGATCCTGAATCGCACCGACCGTTCAGACGGGGCCTCCGGTCGGTGCGGATGAACCAACGTCTGAGTCATAGTTCAACCTGACGGCTGCGACCTGCCGCAGTCACGCGCACACATGCCGGACGGTCAGACGCTGAGGCACCATGCCAGTCGCCCCGTTCCGGACCAGTGAGAGCAGACCCCGTGCCGGACCAGTGAGAGCAGACCCCGTGCCGGATCAGTGAGAGCAGACCCCGTGCCGGACCGGTGGGAGCAGACCCCGTGCCGGACAAGACCGGCCCGGCGCCGTCTGACGCGAGCCGCCCCGGCCCGCCCTCAGACGCTCTGTCGCCAGCTGGACCTCGGCACCGCCAGCCGGGTGCTGGACGTGGGCACGGGCCCGGGCGGCTCGGCCATCCACATGGCCAGCCGCTACGGCTGTCACGTGACCGGCGTCGACCTGTCGGCCAACATGGTGACGGCGGCGCTGCAGCGGCAGGCGGCATTGTCGTCGCCGGTGAGACCACCCCTGCCAACGCGCGGCCCTCGCGCGCCGCCTGTCGGTTCCATCTGTGAGGACGTGGACTGACTGGGTCGAGCATGGTGCAGCGCGGGAACAGAGTGACACGTTCATTTGCGGCAGTGGCAGAGCAGGCACTGCTGCACTTCGTTTTGCTCCTGAGGTCAACTGCATTATCTCTGGTTTGCTTCATCCATGACGATGGTACGGGTCGCTTGCTTGCTGGAGAATCTGCCCTCCTATCATCACCACCCGAACGTCTCACGTCAGGGGGTGGAGCGTGCCCCTACTGGTGCCATCATCACCACCCGAACGCCCCGCGTCAGAGGGCGAAGCGTGTTCCTCCTGATGGCCGATCGGTACCGCGCGGCCCGGCCGCGGCGGACGCGAGCGGGAGGGAGACGGCCAGGCGGGGGAGCTGAGCCGCGCCGGAGCTGAGCCGCGCCGGAGCGGTGCCTGATGGCGGCCGGTGCGGCGCCACAGGTCCGCGAGCAGCTGCGGTTCGAGATCAGCGACATCGCCGAGCGCGAGTACGCCGACGCCAGCTACGACGTCATCTACAGCCGCGAGACGCTGCTGCACGTGCCGGCCAAGCAGGCTGTGCTGGCCAAGTTCTGGCGCTGGCTGCGGCCCGGCGGCCGGCTGCTCATCACCGACTACTGCCAGGGCCAGGGTCCCCTGCGCAACGACTTCCTCGAGTACAAATCGGCCAGAGGTGAGTGGTGCCTTTTCGCGTAAATTTTTACAAATGTCCCACAGCTTCAGCTTTCTACTGTGTCCGGTCACCGAGATGGTATCTCGATCTCGAGGTGTGAGTGGCGAAAGGGTGGGAAAGAAAAGTGGGCAATCTATGACGCATTCTCAGTACTGCGTGCATGGTCTTCTTACCTTTTCCAGTGATTCTGAAGGTGTGAACTGGTAGGACGATGAGCGACATCAGTTTTCGTGACCTTTGAAGAAATTATCGAGGGCAAGGTCACATCAGGTCAAGTATTGATGCGAATATAAAATGAACCCACCAAGCGCCTGTTTTGTGTGCTGAAATGGCGACATATGGCCTAGTTGACAACGGGGAGATTTAACTTTAGAGTCATATCGAGTCAAATTTTCAAAATTTCCTTGGATTTATGTTACTCAAGCCTCCATAATGCACCGACACTACCGTGGTAGATGAAGATTTTAGGGTACAATCACCCAAGGTTAGGATAGTGGTAGGCTGTGCGATGGGCTCAGGTAGCCTCCCGCATAGGCTCACGCAGCTCAGGTAGCCTTCTGATGGGCTCAGGCAGCCTCCCATAAGGGCTCAGGTAGCTCAGGTACCCTCCTGATGGGATCAGGAAGCCTCCTCTTCGAATCAAATAGAGGAATGCTTTGGCTTGAGCCACTCTTGCTCTACGTAGATACATTGACACATCACGCAATGATAGCTAAAATGCGATTTAACTCCATTTAACAAGACTAAAGACTATCCATACTAGATGCCAAAGGTCCGAGGCGATGTCACCAGGGGGCAAGGACAGCGGCCGCCTCCTCTGCCATTTGTCAGAGCGTGGACAAATATTTGCCCCACTTGAAATGTCAGGAGGCTCCATCGCACCAACAGGAAGCGCATGATGGCAGGGACGGACCATTCTATAGAGTCGAAAGGAGGATATTTACCAATAATGGACAAAGCTGCCGAGCAGGTGGTCCTAGTTGGCCAACACCAGGGCCTATTGATCGACAGCAGGCGACAAATGACTCAGGTGCTGGCCGCCCCTGTCGATATCGCAGCAGCATGAGCAAAGTTGTGGATGACGCACAGGAATATCGACATATCGCATGCAACACAGAGGGTGTGGAATCGGCGGGGAGGGTGAGGGCGGAGGGGTCGCGTCAGCCCTACGTTGTGGAAGGTAGCGATGTCGCCACGCGTGGCGAGGATTAAACGACTAGGCGACTACGATGCTCTTAGCGACATCTGTCGTTAGCTTGTGTCACCATGATCTCACGCTTGCGCGCTTCATAAGTACGTCAGTTATGCAACGAAATGACGTATCAGGGACCGCACAGCCAGGGGCGGATCAAAGACGGGGGGGGGGGGATGGAGCAATGGGCCCCCTGTGGCACCAGGTATGTTTCGAAGCCTCTAAAATCTGATAGCGACGGGGCAGCAAAATCTTCATCGCGGAGTCGCATAACCTTTGTTTTCAAGAGGCGCTTCACTCCAGGGGTACTACTCAACGGGCATCAAATTTCAAGGTCATAAAAATGTTTTGCATCCCACTCTGATGAAATTCCGGGTCGGCTCCTTGGGCGTGGGACCATTTCCTTCATCTTCATTGCGAGGCATCATAATCATTGTTTGCAAACGGCGCCAATTCCGAGCGGGGCATGTAAAGGTCCAAAAACCCTTAATTTAACACGGAACTTAAATCCAGGGAACCACATTTTTGCGCCCTTTGTGTCACCCTGACAAAAATGCTGGATCAGCCCGTTCGGTGTAGGGGTATCAAAAACCTTTTCCGGGAACCACATTACTTTACTTCTCATCATTTAATGATTGGTTTAATTTAGATATTGATTGTATCATCAATACGGGGAATTACAATTCCTCGGCCACTCTATTCCAGAGGGTACCACAAGTGGCCTCGAAGTCTTCATTGCCAAACGACCACCAATCTCAGAGGGCACCACAATGCTTGTGTGCCTTTCCATCGACAGAATCCTGACAACAACAAAAAAACGATCGGTCTATGCGGCGAGATGGCATCAAAATCTTCATTTCGGGGCATTAAAACACTTCTTTTCTAGAGACATCAAATCCAATCGGGCTATTCAAAAGGGCCCGAGGCCTTCAATTTAAAAGGTTTGCTTTTAGCGCATCCAGGGGCACCACAATTCCCCGGCTATCCACCTTGACGAAATATTTGGATGGCCCTTTAGGGCAAACGGGCACCAAAAAAAAACTTTCCTTTCAACGCATCAAAACCTGTAGAGGCATCCAGTCTCAGGCGGCACGATGCAGTGACCCAAACGTTCATTTTAAAAAGCAATAAATTACAGGAGGCACTGCAATGTCCATTAACGGAATCCTTGATCGGCCCATTGAGGAAGGGATGCCTAAAGTTTCATTTCGTGGCACAATATTTTATATTTTCAACAAGTACCAAATCCAAAAAGAGCACTTAAAAAACTCCTCAACCTTTACTTTCAAGGGAAACCTAAATCCACGGGTGCCACAACTTCTGTATCTTCCACCCGAACAAAGTCTTGGATCGGTCCCTTCTGCGAAACATTGCCAAAAGCTTGACAGGCAATGTCTCACATTTGAAGAAGTTGAGACAAGCATCAGATATGTGGAAAAGGCTTTTTTCTTTTTTTCTTCCAAGCTTTTCTAAAGTTTTTCTAACTTTTGGTTTGCTTTATAGTACAAGACTGCCGTATGCAACATTTAGCAACTATGTTCCTCAACACGCTATCGTCTGATTATGCCATTAAATGTTAGTGTGACGTCAGAGTCGCTGCCAAACGGACCGTGTCAGAGTTGCCATTGTAGCGGACGGACAGATTCATTTGTACCACTGCAACTTTCCGAGAGGTGGCGGTATTTGCCAGAGCGTGGCTGCTGAACCGAATATTGCTAACAGCTCGTGATTTGGACATTTCTCGTGGTCCTCTCCCGTCTAAATCCATGATTAAGCCCGATTTTTATGTAACACAGCGACACGAGCAATAGAGATTATGTCATTACGTCACGAGTTTGGGGTGCTCCACGTGGTAGTCCATCCTGAGCATTAATCTGATAATTGAACAGGTGGAATCTGCGACCCGGGATATCTTCTAAATGCATCCGAATTGATTTCATAAGGAATTCGAAAAAATCAGTTTGCGATACGTAATCGTTTTCGCACGCCCATTGACTGCAGCCGGGTGTCAGCTGCGATGCCGACGCCGCGCGGCCTGCGGAGACCGCGACACCGGACGTCAATGTTCTTTTGACGGCGAGGCACATACGGTTATATTAAATATTTTTTTAATAATGGATTACAAACAGAGGATGAACTTTCCAGGCAGACAAGGGTTGGACATGTCGATGTAAATTGCTTGCCATGTTTCGCTTTCCCTGGGTTCAATCCGCGTGCCGCTCAATATATTTGTAGATCCCCGCAAAAAACCGGCGACGTACTGCCGCTGGCATTAATTTATAAACAGGGCCGAATGAACTGACGTAAATTTAACAGTGTGATTTATTATATATATATATATATATATATATATATATATATATATATATATATATATATATATATAGTACAAGTGGCTTATTCGATGCAGCAATTTATTTGTTGACAGAATTAATTTTAGTTACTTTTAAATGCATGAAGAATTGCATCTCTGATCTTCTCATCTCTGATCTTTTCATCTTTCATGAATTGCATCATAAAAAGGAAAAGTAACATTGATCTTTCGGAACAATGCGGCTCATTTTTTGGGGGGATGATTTAGGAGGATGAATTCCCTACTGCCTTTCTAACAGCATTTATCCCTCGTCAACCGCGGTGCCCCCCCCCCCCCCCCTTACCGTGACTCGGCTGCAGCCCTAGCCACATGAAGTCCTGATCAGATCAGGCGTCATCCACCCTGATGAAATCTAGAGACCAGTCCGAGTCAGCGCAGCCAATGGGGGGGGGGGGGGGCACATCCTGAAGTGCACATTTGTTGTTTTTACTTTAGCACGGCTGATGGCTCTTGAGAGGAAACTAAAAATAAATGTACAGTTTACAATGGACAATACCGACAGTGAGATACATCGCCATTGAGCAGATGCATGTGTAAGGCAGCAATGATAGCGGTTGAATATGCCAACAAACGAACTGATACAAACGATATGTGCATCGAACTGTTAATTATGTTTTACATTTGAATGGCCGACGGATGAAAACCTTAACAAGTAACCCACGCATATACCTAGTGAGCGATAGGCCATTTGAGTCACCTTTTTGATATACCCAATCCACTCCGATGTTTCAAATGTCAACGGTTTTGGACCCGGCAGCAAGTCCTGCAAACTGAGTGCACGATGCCCTAAGTGCCGCGAGACTCCTCAGGGGATCTGTCTGCAACTCGTCTCAGAAATGCCTGAGCTGTGGGAGTGCTGATCACAGCGCCAACTCTGCCCTTCGCGGTGAGCGACACGGCAGAAAGAAAAAGAGCAGAGTGACGCGTTCATTCGTGGCAGTGGCAGAGCACACACTGTCGCACTTTGTTTCGCTTCTGAGGTCAACCGCATTGTCTCTGGTTCGCCTTATCCCTGACGATGGTGCGGATCGCTTGCTTGCTGGAGAATCTGCCCTCCCATCATCACCACCTGAACACCCTGCGTCAAGGGGCAGGGCGTGCCCCTACTGACGACATCATCACCAATTTGCTCCGAAAGGCCAGGATGGGTGTGCCTTTCTAGCAGGCAAGACCCACTGTCGAAGCGAAAATATCGCAGTCTTCAACGAAATTACACGCAAGTCGCAAAGGCAGTCCAAGTACGAGAAGCGTCATGTGATGCACAGACAGAGCGATCCTCTAGTTACCTCCTTTGAAAATTGTTAGTCCACTCAACGCTACCTCTGCCACAGCAAACACACAAACCGAAGAGTCGCGTTCCCTCCAGCCGGCCCTGTCCACGCGTTCCCTACAGCCGGCCCTATCCACGCGTTCCCTCGAGCCTGCCCTGTCCACGTGTTACCTCGAGCCGGCCCTGTCCACACGTTCCCTAGAGTCCTGTCCACGCGTTCAGATTCTCAGTCGTCTGTGCGCTCCCGTCCCCAGACTGGCCAGCGTTCCAGCCCTCCTGCTACGCGTGGTTCTCGTGCGGATAAAGTCGTCCGGCGTCCTAGCAGTCCTCCAGCCACGGACGGTCGGCGGCCGGGTTCCTCCGGCCGCCTCACGAACGGCCCCTCCCCTCCTTCCCTGCATAACACCTGCCACAACACGCCCGAGCGAAGACCGCCAGCCCCGCCAGCCTGTGGGGTTGGCATTGGGCCGGCGGCGGTCAGTTTTGTTCGGCTGGTTCCCACCAACCGGCGGGGGAGGGTCTGTTCACCATTTCATGCCTTTTCTCGTACAATGGACATGTCGCGGCCTTGTTCCTAAACGGTTTAAAATTAATGCCGCTTCGGCAGGATTAGCTCCAACGATCATCGTCTTGCAAGAACCTTGGTGTCGTACTGTGGGCCCATAAAACTTTACATGCTAAAGTGCTCCTTACATTTTGTTATGACACAGACGGCGAGCGTCGCGAGGGTGGAGTGGCGCTATACAGCAAATGAATTCACGTGCATGCCCCTCTTTCTGATCGCGCCTCCCAATGCTGTTGCATATCCGGTACGGTTGCATGTCCGCACCATCGATGTACGCTCTTTGTGCATTCCACAAAAGCATGGCAGCACGAAGCTCTTGCGGCTGCTAGACCACCTTGTTACTTATTTTCGCAACGTTTTTCTTAGCTGCGGCGATTACAACTGTCATAGTCCAGCTTGGAGTAATGACACCCAGGCCGCCAATCGCCGGTGCATTTGGTTCAAGATTTCATCGGTGCTCATAATTTAGTCTTACTGAAGAAAGGAGATAATATCACCGCATACCTATTGGTTCAGAAACTGCCATCGACTGGTTGCTGCGTCTTCCCTCAGTAAGGGATATCTTTTATTGGACTGTTGAGCGAGATGTTAATGACAGTGACCATTTCCCATTTAAGCTTTACGTCACTTTTGACCCGGCCGCTGATGCGGTTCCACGATTCATCACTGCTGCATGACGCAAAACAGACTGGGCCAAGTTTCAGAAGGTTTGTTTTGTCAACCACGATCGCTGTGTCACCCGAACAAGGTGTCAGCCTTGTCACACACATTCTTCATGCGCTTAAAAAACTAGTTGTTTCAGATTACCTACGGGGTATTGCGCACTTCTCCAATTTTGGCCTTCGAGGTGGCTGCCCACGTTATGCCCCTTGCTCTCCGATGAATGAAACTCACTGGGATTTTGTTGCACTTTTGTTTTGTACTCCGACTCTATACCGCGTTCTTCCATGACAGTTGCTTAAAAAGTACCACCACGACAGTTAATGCCACGAAAAGTGTTGTTTCTTTTGTAAAGATCCAAACGTTTTGTCACAACAGCCTATGTTCAACAGACGTATTATAACCTAATTGCCAATAATGCAAATAGCTTTTTTGCTCATACTGATGGCTCCTAGGCCAACGACCACACCAGACGTTCAGTAATTCGCAATTAGCATTTCTCTAGAAATTGTCTGTTACCGAATGGTAACTCAGTTTATCTGGCTGAATTATTTGCTGTTCTTGCGCTACAGCACATTCAACACCACAATCATGCCACAAGAACAATAGTTCCTGTTCCGATTCTCGGGCAGATTTACAGTCACCCCTTGGCCCTGACATTACTCACCACCTCCTTGATCACAAAACAAAAATCTGAGAATGAACTGGCCGAAATGTGAGGACTTCTGTAGGGGAGGGGGAGGGTGCGGGCATGACAGTGAAGCCTCCTTGACTAAATCCTGGATCCGTGCCCGCCCACAGCATTGTATTAATTTCGCAGCATCTGAGTCCCCATACCAGCTCGCACGCAGCGTTCTTTTTATAAGGAGTGTACCACGTCCCATCTACAGCTTGCCGTTCACGGTGCGCAAGCCCAGCCAGCGCGCTGCGGGGCCCCGCTGACCGGACCTCCCTTCCGTCAGCTTACAGCATGCTGACGCTGGCCGAGTACGGGCGCCTGCTGAGTGAGACTGGCTTCGCCGACGTCCGGGTGCAGGACCAGGCGGACAAGTTCCTCGTGATCCTGCGCCAGGAGCTGGACCAGTTCCAGACGCAGCGGCAGCGCTTCGTGACGGTAAGGCCCTAGCTGCGCGTGTCCTGGACGCCCTGTGACAGCGCAGCAATGTCCATGGCGGGCAGGAAAGAGCGACGTGGTGTGGCGCGTTACGAGAGTAATTTGATGCTCTACCTGTACTGAGCTAATCTGATGCTCCGCGGGCTGCCAATTTGATGCTCTGCCGGTACTGGGCTGCTAATTTGATAATCTGGCGGTACTGGGCTGCTAATATGATGCTCTGCCGGTACTGGGCCGCTAAATTGATGCTCTGCCGGTACTGGGTTGTCAATTTGGTGCTCTGCCGGTACTGGGCTGCTAATTTGATGCTCTGCCGGCACTGGGCTGCTGATTTGGTGCTCTGCCGGTACTGGGCTGCTAATTTGATGCTCTGCTGGTCCTGGGCTGCTGATTTGGTGCTCTGCCGGTGCCCAATTTGATGCTCTGCCGGTACTGGGCTGCCAATTTGATGCTCTGCCGGTACTGGGCTGATAATTTGATGCTCTGCCGGTACTGGGCTGATAATTTGATGCTCTGCCGGTACTGGGCTAATTTGATGCTCTGCCGGTACCGGGCTACTAATTTGATGCTCTGCCGGTACTGGGCTGCCAATCTGGTGCTCTGTTAATTCAGGGCTGGTAATTTGGCATCCGCATATTCCTGCATGGAACAAGAGGCGTACTCTGTCGGTTCTGGGCTGGCAACTTGCGAGCCACATGTTCCTGCATGGAACGAGAGGCGTTACGAACTCGGGTTATAAGCTCGAATTATAAGGGTTGTTAATTTTCAACGAGTGTCCGGAATTTGACATAGTCAGCGAAGTGAGTTGAAGATTGGTCAGCGAAGTGAGTTGAAGAGCCCACGTTATATAGTACCACGAACAGATATGAAAACAGATGACTCCGCTGGACTCTCTATCGCCACTCGCGTGCACTGTCCCAGCGTTATAAAGCTCGCGGGTCATTCGCAGCAGGCCGTCGCTGCCTGAGCACCCGGGGTGGTCACCATGCGCTGTGCTGCCGCAGGAGTTCTCGGAGGCGGAATACCAGGACATGGTGACCGGCTGGGAGCAGAAGATCAGCCGCGCCTCGGAGGGCTCCCAGGTGTGGGGTCTCATCACAGCGCGCAAGCCCCTGCCAGACGCCAACGGCCTCGACAGTCACCAGCAGTAGCCGGCCGGTGGTACCAGCGAGCCCGGGACGAGTGCCTTTGTTGTAGCGACAAGTTGGAGCGGATGGGCGGGCACCGCGCGCAGCGACTGGCCGGCGCCGAGCGCTGCGGCTCGCTGTGTGCGCGGCTGCCGCTCCGACCGGCCCCGCCCCGCTTCGCGTGGCGTGGCTGTGTTGTCCTGCAGTCTGTCCGCGGGACGGGTCGCGCGGAGATTGGTGTGGCGTGGCTGCGTTGTCCTGCACAGTCCGTCCGCGGAGGGCCCTGCGCGGGGCCTGGCGCAGGCGAGGGTCATAAGGCGCAACGGGGCGGCGGGAAGACCCGTTCAACGGGTTTGATGTTTGTGCTTGCGTGTTGCGTTCTCTGACGGTGTGGGACCTTGTGTGTGCCTTCCAGGCGGTGTCAACCAGTCGTGATGCACCGCCACGTCTTTCTAGATTAGTCGCTTGTTCAGATAACCGGAAAACAATATCATTCAACATGTATTTCGCATGTATATAACACAGAGGGTATATAACACAGACAATATCCCAAGCGTTGACACAGGGCCATGGCTTGGGAGGGCTTTGGTACATGCTGGTTATGACACCGGTACTGTCACTGGTAATGGCGAGAAGCGATGACATATACAGAAAATTGGAAGACAGAAACGGCGCTCATTGCAACGTTTGGGCAAATCGCAAACGATGCAACGTTCAAAAAAGCATAATACACGACCGGCGCAGAGTTCAGAAACGACGCAGCGTTCAGAAAGCATAATACATGGCAGGCGCGGAGTTCAGAAACGATGCAGCGTTCAGAAAGCATAATACATGACAGACGCAGAGTTCAGAAACGATGCAGCGTTCAGGAAGCATAATACATGACAGGCGCGGAGTTCAGAAACGATGCAGCGTTCAGAAAAGCATAATACATGACAGGCGCGCATAATCACAGAACAGCCAGAATACATCACATAATGTTTACACTCGCCACGTTTCTATCATGCAAAACCCGTAGCGAAAAAAATTGTCATGGTAAAAACATGACATTAAATAGACGTGATCAACGTCCCTGAGGCGAGAGTACGACAAGGCACCCATGTTTTGAGATCGCTGAACAGCCCCGTAGTACACCACCGTATTTAAAATGCAATTGTCGCAGACCTGAGATCGCTCGAGATCGAGAAGCACCGCTGCAGGAGTCAACCAATTGCATCATCCCACACATGACACACTTATGGGTAAACACATAGACACAGTCAATATATCACCCTGCGGCTTGCCTATACACCGCTGAGAACACAACCACACAGTATCGGCCGGAGCCCCATTCGTCTCAAGCGAGGGGACTGTACGCTCGGCGCGCCACCGATATCACCCTGCGGCTTGCCTATACACCGCTGAGAACACAGCCACACAGTATCGGACGGAGCCCCATCCGTCTCAAGCGAGGGGACTGTACGCTCGGCGCGCCACCGATATCACCCTGCGGCTTGCCTATACACCGCTGAGAACACAGCCACACAGTATCAGACGGAGCCCCATCCGTCTCAAGCGAGGGGACTGTACGCTCGGCGCGCCACCGATATCACCCTGCGGCTTGCCTATACACCGCTGAGAACACAGCCACACAGTATCGGACGGAGCCCCGTCCGTCTCAAGCGAGGGCACTGTACGTTCGGTGCGCCACCGGTCGCCTTCAAAGCCGGGGGCTTAAATGACAGTAGAAGGCTTCTCTTCTCCTGGACACAGACGATGGGCTGTCGCACGCAGGCAAAGCTGGTCGTCGCTGTTCAAGCCAACAGCTATACCAAAACCAGTGGCACAAAAGCCGGTTGCCGTTAAAGCCAACAGTTGTACTGCGCCACAAACCCTTCTCCCTTCTCCCCCCTCCCTCCGCCCCAACAAAATCGGCCGGCAGCGGCCACCTACTAGCCGCGCTGGGCTCTGCCGGCGTGCGGGGCGTTGCGCCGCGTGCGGTAGGCCCTCGACAGCAATATCATCAGGCCTAGCCGCACATGCAGGTCCCGCACCGTGTCATTGCCGCCTTCAGCCTGCAACATGGGCTGCCCGCCCGGGTCGTTCATGTCATGACAGCCCACCGCCTGCGACATCGGCCGCCCGCCCGGGTCGTTCATGTCATGACAGCCCACCGCCTGCGACATCGGCCGCCCGCCCGGGTCGTTCATGTCATGACAGCCCACCGCCTGCGGCATCGGCTGCCCGACCGAGTCGTCTGTGAGGGCGAACGGATCGGCGCCGCGCCCCGCCCCCGCCCCCGCCGCCTCTTCTGTCCCGGGCTGTACGCGCTGGAGAGGCGGCAGGTCGTCCGCCCAGGCGTCACACAGGTCGGGCTCGGCCCGCTCCCACCAGCCGTCCGCCGCGAGCGGCACCGGTGGCGGAGGCTGGCTGCTGTCGGGCAGGCCGGGCGCCGGCAGCCACGGGTCGTTGTGCAGGGGGACGAGCACGTGGTCCTCCCACCAGGGCTCCGCTTCGTTTGGAGGTCCCTGGATGCCGATAGGCCAAAATGGCCGCTGCAGATCCCCTTGGTAGCCGACTGGAGGCCCTTGGCGAGCACGCGGGACCTCGCCTTGGTAGAAGAGGGACCCGTCGGCATCTGGAGCATGCGCCTCCAGCAGAAACTGGTAGGCAGTGAGACATGCCCGCTCCTCCAGCAGTGTTTGATAGGCCTCTGCTGTCTTGCGCTGGTCCAGCTCGGCGGCTGATACCTTCCGCTTCTGCTGATCCATATGCCGTTTCCTCATCACGCTCAGACGGTCTCTTACAACCCCTTTCTTCACTTGGTAGAGAGGCATCGCGAATTGCGGGTGTATTTCAATGGCGATTAGTGCCTGACCCCGGTTGATTCGGCTGCCGGCCGGTGCCTCCTGGCGCTGCAGCTGGTCGGCAGCCTGTGCCCCCTGGTTGTCCAGTTGGTTGGCAGCCGGTGTCTCCTGGCGTTGCAGCTGCTCGAAAGCCGGCGCTTCCTGGTGATTTAGTTGGTCGGCAGCCGGCGCCTCCTGCTGTTCCAGTTGGTTGGCAGTTGGTGCCTCCTGGTGTTGCAGTTGGTCGGAAGCTGGTGCCTCCTGGTGTTGCGGCTGGTCGGCAGCCTGTGCCTCCTGGTGTTGCAGTTGGTAGGCAGCTGGTGCCTCCTGGTGTTCCAGCTGGTCGGCAGCCTGTGCCTCCTGATGTTGCAGTTGATTGGCAGCTGTCATTTCCGGGTGTCTCAGTTGGTCGACAGCGGGCGCCTCCTGATGTTGCAGCTGGTCGGCAATGAGTGCCTCCTGGTGATGCGGCTGGTCGGCAGCCTGTGCCTCCTGGTGTTGCAGTTGGTCGACAGCTGGAATTTCCTGGTGTCCCAGTTGGTCAACAGCAGGCGCCCCCTGACGTTCCAGATGGTCGGCAGTCTGTGCCTCCTCGTGTTGCAGCTGGTCGGCAGCCAGGGCCCTCTGGTGCTGCAGCTGGTCGGCAGCCTGCACCCCCCGGTGTTGCAGCTGGTCGGCAGCCGGCGCCTCCTGGTGTTGCAGTTGGTCGACAGCTGGCACCTCCTGGTGTTGCAGCTGGTCCGCAGCCGGCGCCTCCTGGTGTCCCAATAGGTCGGCAGCCGGCCCCTCGTGGTGTTGCAGCTGGTCCGCAGCCTGCACCCCCTGGTGTTGCAGCTGGTAGGCAGCCTGCACCCCCTGGTGTTGCAGCTGATCCGCAGCCCGCGCCTCCAGGTGTTCCAGTTGGTCCGCAGCTGGCGCCTCCTGGTGTTGCAGCTGGTCGGCAGCAGGTGCCTCCTGATTTTGTAGCTGGTAGGCAGCCAGCGCCTCCTGGTGTTGCAGCTGGTCCGCAGCCTGCACCCCTTGGTGTTGCAGCTGGTAGGCAGCTGGCACCTCCAGGTCTTCCAGTTGGTCAGCAGCCAGCGCCTCCTGGTGCTGCAGCTGGTCGGCAGCAAGCGCCTCCTGATATTGCAGCTGGTAGACAGTCAGTGCTTCCTGGTGTTGCAGCTGGTCGGCAGCCGGCGCCTCCTGGTGTTGCAGCTGGTCGGCAGCAGGTGCCCCCTGGTGCTGCAGCTGGTCTGCAGCCTGTACCCCCTGGTGTTGCAGCTGGTCCGCAGCCTGCACCCCCTGGTGTTGCAGCTGGTAGGCAGCTGGCGCCTCCAGGTGTTCCAGTTGGTCTGCAGCCGGCGCCTCCTGGTGTTGCAGCTGGTCCGCAGTCGGCGCCTCCTGGTGTTCCAGTTGGTCCGCAGCCTGCACCCCCTGGTGTTGCAGCTGGTAGGCAGCTAGCGCCTCCTGGTGTTGCAGCTGGTCCACAGCCTGCACCCCCTGGTGTTGCAGCTGGTAGGCAGCTAGCGCCTCCTGGTGTTGCAGCTGGTAGGCAGCCAGCGCCTCCTGGTGATGCAGCTGGTCCGCAGCCTGCGCCCCCTGGTGTTGCACCTGGTAGGCAGCTGGCACCTCCAGGTGTTCCAGTTGGTCTGCAACTGGCGCCTCCTGGTGTTGCAGCTGATCGGCAGCAAGCGCCTCTTGATATTGCAGCTGGTAGGCAGCTGGCGCCTCCAGGTGCTCCAGTTGGTCTGCAGCCAGCGTCTCCTGGTGTTGCAGCCGGTCCGCAGCCTGCACCCCCTGGTGTTGCAGCTGGTAGGCAGCCAGCACCTCCAGGTGTTCCAGTTGGTCTGCAGCCAGCGCCTCCTGGTGTTGCAGCTGGTCGGCAGCATGCGCCTCTTGATATTGCAGCTGGTAGGCAGCTGGCGCCTCCAGGTGCTCCAGTTGGTCTGCAGCCAGCGCCTCCTGGTGTTGCAGCTGGTCCGCAGCCTGCACCCCCTGGTGTTGCAGCTGGTAGGCAGCCGGCACCTCCAGGTGTTCCAGTTGGTCTGCAGCCGGCGCCTCCTGGTGTTGCAGCTGGTCGGCAGCAAGCGCCTCTTGATATTGCAGCTGGTAGGCAGCCAGTGCCTCCTGGTATTGCAGCTGGTCCGCAGCCGGCGCCTCCTGGTGTTGCAGCTGGTCCGCAGGCTGCACCCCCTGGTGTTGCAGCTGGTAGGCAGCTAGCGCCTCCTGGTGTTGCAGCTGGTCCGCAGCCTGCACCCCCTGGTGTTGCAGCTGGTAG